AAAGAAAATACAAAAACATAGAGCAGATAAAGGTAGAAATGAAAATAGACAGTGAAGTAAAGAAAGAAAGAAAAGAAAAGAAAAAAACAGAAAGGAAAAAAAACAGAGCAAAGGCGAGGAACTGGAAAGATGTACAAAAGAAAAAGAGAAAAAACTGAAAAGAACAGAAAAAATGAAGAAAAAAAAATGAAAAAAAAGAAAGAAGAGGACAAAAAAGATAAGGCAAGACAAAAATAAAAAATAAAAAAAAWATAAGCAACACAGGCATTGATAACTTTTGTGTCCAATATTTTGCAGAATTGAAATGTGTGATAAGATAGATCAATAAATGGCAAATGAAGTAAAAATAAACAGGATGAACACCCAATTTCATGCAATTACTATGTTGTGATCTCTTTTGCAATATGGTCATTTTTAATAATTATTCATTTTTGTACACTTAGAGATCTGATCATCTTARTCGACTCATCTATTTCCCAGCTGACTTGTATTAAGCGTGCGTAGCGGCCCAAAGGGAAGGGAAGGGGAGGGGGACTGAGGAGAGGGAGGAAAGGTAGGGCCTGAAATGAACCCTCTTGATTTTTCCTACTGTCCCCTAATTAATATGCAAACTCTCAACCAATCAAATCAAAGAATAAAGTATCTGAATTAACTCCACTGACATCTGATTGGCATATCGAACTTATCAACCAATCAAAATTAGCGTTTGGATTCTGAATATTTGTAGGAAAAATCGAGGGGGTTCATTGCAGGCCCTATCTTTTCTTCCTTCCCCCTCCTCTTCCTCTCCTCAGTTCCCCCTGCTCCTCCCCCAGTCCCCAATCCCCTTCCCTTGGGGCCGCTAGGCAGGCTAACTTGTATTGAATGGACTTAACCAGAAATCATGCAACAGCATCCCACATTGCTAAAAATAACTGCTGCTCAATGGATGCTGACTTGCCGCATCAAGCTTATGGACATGTGACCAGTAAATGTTACCACTCAATAGGACCTGCCTACTAATTTACAGGTCAATGCACAAAAGTATGACCTCATTTAATGTAACATTGTATACTTTTATGCATTGACTTTTTGCTTCCAAATGAGCTTTCGCATGCTGGATGGTAGAACCAGCCAGCTTTGCATTCAAATGTGTTGGTTTAAAGCACATGCATAAAATTGGTCATACTTTGTACATAGTGCTGTAATAGTTGTCTAGCCAGACACAAACAAGTGATAATTTTTGCTGGAAACTGTTGAGTAATTGGCCATTATATTAAGCCTAGCCTATATGAAAATAAATACATCTGGTTGGTAAAAGAAGCTAGCATGAATGAAATTATTAACGGTCATACTTTTGCACATCACGCACATCATCTGTAATAGTTGTCTGGCCAGAAAAGGGCCGATTTTGGCCAGACACTGTTTAGCGATTGGCCATTAAATTGAGCCTTTCCTATATAGAAAAAAAATTTCACGTCTATAGTAGGATAAAAATATTGTTCTTTAATCTTGTAAATAATCTAATAAAATTTGCCATGACATCTAGAGGACTTTTGAAAAGTAATAGTCATATATATAACCATTCCTGTTTCATACAAAGCATCTATATTACTAAGATATTATTATATTACATTAAATAAATYATTATATAAATCATGTATTATCAAGGACCCTATAAATGGCCTCTCGTTCTCGGAGTACCTTCCAAGCAGCATCCTTTTCCTTCTTTGTTGGAGATTTCCTTTTTTGTTTATAGGTGGAAATCTTTCTATAGTTCTCCATAATTTCAGCATCAATAATTCTGGTCCTATGCCGCAATTCCTGCCTGCGCATCTCTTCCTGTACAYGCTTTAATAATTCTTGTTTACCCTGTTTATTCTTTGCAATTAATGTCTTAAGTTCAGTCTGGTGCTTCTTTAACTCAGCCAATACTTCGTCATCCTCTTCYTCTTTATGGTCTTCATCTATCAAACCCTGGAATATCAATTCTTCTCTTATACGAGCTTCTAAAGTTCTTGCATGTGGTACATGGGGAGCTTTAACTGGGGTCCGGGGAGTTACCCCTCCACTTCTTGTCAATGTACTCTCGCCGTGTTTTGGGTTTGAAGCACTTTGATCCATTGGTGCAATGATGTTTTCTTCAATCAATGCAGAAACAAGGCGTCGTGTTAATGGCCCAAATGGGCATATATCCTCCTCTGACTGGAGCCCAGAGGTATCACTCTTTTTTAATATTGTTGAGGCTTGCTCAGCTTTGTTTTGGTTCTCTCCAGAAGAATTGGAAAGTGTTCCTCTACGTTTCTCATTTACTTTCATCCCTTCCATTTGCTCCTCTATCAGATCCTCCTGCGCCCACTTCTCACTATAGTGCTTCCCAAGAGGAGGTATCTTCATATACTCATGATCATCATCTGCAGCTTTAATCAAGTCCTCAAGGAATTTCGTATCCTCCAAAGTCAAGTCAGCACAATAAGGCTCTACCGCTGCCCAAAATCTATTTGGTGCATCTCCTTTTGACTTGGAGGTTAAGGGAAATGACTCCTCATCTATCCCATCACTACTCTTTCCCAACCCTTTCTTTTTCCCTAGGCCCTGAGAGCCGCTTTTCGAGTCCTCAAGTTTCTGTTTCTTTGACCCCCTGCTATCATCTACCAATGTTGGTTTACTTCTCTTCAAAGTAGTCAAAGAGTTCAATATTTCAAGTTCCTTCTGTCGAACCATTTTCTTGTCTTTCTTCTCAGCCCAGTCGACAAGAACCTTAGTCTCTCTTTCTAACAATCTTATGCGCCGATTACAAGCTGCAAGAAGTGTTTCTAGGTCACTTGTTAAGAGGTCAAGCTCGTCAGGCGCTATTCCTTGATCGGTAGACCTCGTTAACAATGAATTGTAAAATGGACATAATTGAACGTGATCCACTAAGTCGAAATCACAGTATTGAAGAGGACACGAGTCCTTATCGCCCTTTCCGTCCTCTGAGCTCATTATTATGATTAATAAGCATCAAATCAAACGAGGGAAATAGAGAAAAATTTGAAACAAAATGGCTGCGATTTTTACTGAATTGAGCCGGTGGTATCTACGTCAGCGGAATACCACGACAAAGTTAGAGTACCTCCTACCCT